ACAAAATCCTGGCTACAGGCCTGACTGCATGTAAGTGAAAAGTAAGATGAATTAAGGTTAAAAAGGAAAAGGTGTCAGAAATAATAATTAAGGTTGCAGTTAAACTGGTCTGGGGGAGATGTGTGTGTGTGTGGAATGGAAGTCATGCTATCCTCCTCCTCCCAGTTTAGGCTAGTGCAACCTTCCAAGTGTTTTTGGACAACAACTTTGTTCTTCACAATTGACTATACCAGGGGTTCTCAAACTTTTTCAGCCACGGAGCTCTTTTTGAAGCAAAAGTTTCTTGTGGACCCCCCCCCCCCCCGCAAAGATATTATATTATACTAGCCGTCCCCTGCCACGTGTTGCTGTGGCCCACATGGGGGTTCTGTGTGGGAGGTTTGGCCCCATTCTATCGTTGGTGGGGTTCAGAATGCTCTGTGATTGTAGGTGAACTATAAATCCCAGCAACTACAATTCCCAAATGTCAAGATTCTATTTTCTCCAACTCCCCAACTCCACCAGTATTCACATTTGGTATTGAGTATTCGTGGAGAGTTTGGTCCATATCCATAGATCCATCATTGTTTGAGTCCACAGTGATCTCTGGATGTAGGTGAACTACAAATCCACGACATATGAGTGTAGAGAAGAACAAACCACAGACCACATGCTGCAATGCAACCTGAGAGCCCTGCCACATGCACAATGGAGGACCTCCTTACGGCAACACCAGAGGCACTCTAAGTGGCCAGCTACTGGTCAAAGGACACTTAATCAACTACCAAGCTTGAAAATTTTGTTTTTTGTCTGTTTGTTTGTTTTGTTAAAAATGTAATAAAAATGTCTGGTTGCTCCTGACACGATAAACAAATAAATAAATAAATGACTCCAAAACCAAAGGACGCTGCCCACCAAATCCTTCCAGTATTTTCTGTTGGTCATGGGAGTCCTGTGTGCCAAGTTTGGTTCAATTCCATCGTTGGTGGGGTTCAGAATGCTCTTTGATTGTAGGTGAACTATAAATCCCAGCAACTACAACTCCCAAATGACAAAATCAATTTTTTGAGTGAAGGACATACATTGGGTTGTTAGGTGTTTTGTGTCTAAATTTGGTGTCAATTGGTCCAGGGTTTTTGAGTTCTGTGAATAGCACAAACGAACATTACATTTTTATTTATATAGATTATATTATATTATATTATATTATATTATTATATTATATTATATTATATTATATTATATTATATATATTATATTTATATTATAATATAGCTTGGATACCTGGTGATGCCCACATTATTTGAAAAAGGCATTGCTTGTTTTTGGATGTTATGAATGGAACCATTAGAAATTGGTCAATATCCATGGGTGATGGTGTTTGAAGTATTCTCTGGATGGGAGTACTGCAAATCCCATCATCTGTGGTCCATCCTTCTCCAAATCTCACCAGGACATAAAGTGGATCATGGGGGGGGGGGGGTCGGGTCTGTATCCCAGGTTTGGCCCAGATCCATGGCTGATGGAGTTAGCAGTAGTGTCTGGAATCAGGTGACAGTACTGCAATTCACATCATCCATGGTCCATACACCTCCAAACCTCATCAGGATGTAAAGTGGGTCATGTGAGGGGCAGTCTGGGTTCCAAGTTTGCTCCAGATCCATAATTCAAGGAAGTCGCAGTGGTCTGTGGAAATGTGTGAAGAACTGCAAATCCCATTGTCCATGGCCCATCCTCCCCCAAACCTCACCAGGACATAAAGTGGGCATTACAATCAAAAGGCATTGTATGTGACATTTCCCTCCAATTGCTCTTAACAAATTTGTGTGCAGGTATTGAAAGAAAATGTAATAATAGCATTATTAAAATAATTAATAAAACATAGAAGAGCTATAAATGGAGGATGGTGTTCTCTGGACATTCCCCATAAACGCTGCATGAAAGAACAGGGCAACAACAGTATCAAAGTCAAATCGGGAAACACCCTAATACCATAGATTATTTCATAGCCACAGAAATATAGTCAATGGAAGATTTGATGCCAACTCTACATACATAAGCCCACACTATTGCCTGTTAATAGTACATAGTGGTTAAATTAATGAGCTCTAAATCCTTTGCTTCAAATCCTAGCTCAGCCATGAAGGCACAGGGGTTGACTTAAGCAGGTCATTATTACTTAATCTCTTGTTATACCTTAACAGGGTTACTATAAGGAATACTGTGGTAATGTATATAACGTTTATTGAGGAGTTATGGTAAAGGGCCAAGTATATATAGGTTGTTCTTTCAAATAATAGCAAAAAGAGGAAAAAAACTCACAAAACTTCGTCTAACATGAGACTGGATTTGTTTCAATTAGTTGTTGACTCCGACATATGCCAACTCCATAGTTTTGAAACAGAGGTTGGATGGTCATCTGTCGTGTCTGCTTTGATCGTTTCCTTGCCTGCATGACAGGGGATTGGACTGGATGGCTCAAGTGGCCTCTTCCAACTCTATTATCTTATGATTCTATGTAAGAGCTGTTCAACAGTGGAGCTCTTTCATTAGATGCTTTGAAACAGAGACTGGATGGCCGTCTGTCGGGACTGCTTTCATTGTTTTCTTTCCTTTTCTGCATGGCAGGAGGTCGGACTGGATGGCCCATGTGGTCTCTTCCAACTTTATTATCTATGATTCTATGTAAGAGCTGTTCAGCAGTGGAACCTTCTGCCTGGGAGTGTGGTAGAGGATTTGAAATAGAGGCAGAATGGCCATTTGTCAGGGGTGCTTAGATTGTTCCCTTTCCTGCGTGGCAGGAGGTTGACTGGAGGGCCCATAACTCTATTATCCTATGATTCTATGTAAGAGCTGTTCAGCAGTGGAGCTCTTTCCTTGGAGGCTTTGAAACAAAGGCTGGATGGCCATCTGTCAGGGCTGCTTTGTTTCCTTTTCTGCATGGCAGGAGCTTGGACTGGGTGGCTCATGTGTTCTCTTCCAACTCTTTTATTCTATGATTCTATGTAAGAGCTCTTCAACAGTGGAGCCCTTTCTTTGGACGCTTTGAAACCGAGGCTGGATGGCCATCTGTCAGGGCTGCTTGGATTGTTCCCTTTCCTGCATTTTAGGAGGTCAGACTGGGTGGCCCATATATCTATTATCCTATGATTATATGTAAGAGCTGTTCAGCAGTGGAGCTCTTTCCTTGGAAGCTTTGAAACCGAGGCTGGATGGCCATCTGTCAGGTCTGCTTAGTTTGTTCCCTTTCCTGCATGGCTGGAGGTCGGACTGGATGGCCCATAACTCTATTATCCTATGATTCTATGTCAGAGCTGCTCAACAGTGGAGCTCTTTCCTTGGAGGCTTTGAAACACAGGCTGGATGGCCATCTGTCAGGAGTGCTTAGATTGTTCCCTTTCCTGCATGGCAGGAGGTCAGACTGGATGGCCCATAACTCTTTTATCCTATGATTCTATGTCAGAGATGTTCAGCAGTGGAGCTCTAGCCTCGGAGGTTTGAAGCAGAAGCAGTATGACCATCTGTCAAGGGTGATTAGACTGTTTCCTTTCATGCATGGCAGGAGGTCAGACTAGATTGCCCATATATCTATTATCCTATGATTCTATGTCAGAGCTGTTCATTAGTGGAGCTCTTTCCTTGGAAGCTTTGAAACCGAGGCTGGATGGCCATCTGTCAGGAGTGCTTAGATTGTTCCCTTTCCTGCATGGCAGTTCGGACTGGATGGCCCATAACTCTTTTATCCTACGATTCTATGTCAGAGCTGTTCAGCAGTGGAGCTCTTTCCTTGGAAGCTTTGAAACACAGGCTGGATGGCCATCAGTCAGGAGTGCTTAGATTGTTCCCTTTCCTGCATGGCAGGGGCTTGGACTGGATGGCCCATAACTCTATTATCCTATGATTCTGTGTCAGAGCTGTTCAGCAGTGGAGCTCTTTCCTTGGAAGCTTTGAAACACAGGCTGGATGGCCATCAGTCAGGAGTGCTTAGATTGTTCCCTTTCCTGCATGGCAGGAGTTCGGACTGGATGGCCCATATATCTATTATCCTATGTTTCTATGTCAGAGCTATTCAACAGTGGAGGTCTTTCCTTGGAAGCTTTGAAACAGTGGCTGGATGGCCATCTGTCAGGGCTGATTAGATTGTTCCCTTTCTTGCATGGCAGGAGTTCAGACTGGATGGCCCATATATCTATTTCCTATTATTCTATGTTAGAGCTGTTCAACAGTGGAGCTCTAGCCTTGGAGACTTTGAAACAGTGGCTGGATGGCCATCTGTCAAGGATGATTAGATTGTTCCCTTTCCTGCATGGCAGGAGGTCGGACTGAATGGCCCATATATCTATTATCCTATGATTCTATGTCAGAGCTGTTCCTTGGAAGCTTTGAAACAGTAGCTGGATGGCCATCTGTCAGGGCTGCTTAAATTGTTCCCTTTCCTGCATGGCAGGAGGTCAGACTGGATGACCCATATATCTATTATCCTATGATTCTATGTCAGAGCTGTTCCTTGGAAGCTTTGAAACAGAAGCTGGATGGCCATCTGGCAGGGCTGCTTAGATTGTTCCCTTTCCTGCATGGCAGGAGGTCGGACTGGATGGCCCACAACTCCATTATCCTATGATTCCATGTCAGAGCTGTTCCTTGGAAGCTTTGAAACAGAAGCTGGATGGCCATCTGGCAGGGCTGCTTAAATTGTTCCCTTTCCTGCATGGCAGGAAGTCGGACTGGATGGCCCATAACTCCATTATCCTATGATTCTATGTCAGAGCTGTTCCTTGGAAGCTTTGAAACAGTAGCTGGATGGCCATTTGTCGGGGCTGCTTTGATTGTGTCCTTTCCTGAGGTTGGACTAGTAGTTCCTTCCAAGGCTATGATTCCAGCTGCGGCTTGGTCAGGCCTTGTCAGGCAGAGGTGCCCAAGGTGTGGGCTTTGGACTCCATCTCCCAGAATCCCTTGTCATTGGGCGAGCTGGCGAGGGCTGCTGGGAGTTGTAGGCCCGTAGCAGCTGGAAGGGCCACAAGTGTGACACCTGGCCGAGCCGCCTCCATTGCAGCAGGGAAGGAAGGGTCTCTGAGGGCCGGGTGCTTCCAGCCTGCTGCCGCTTCCTGCTTCCCGCCAGGTGCCCGCGCGCGAGACAGGAACTGAGGCGAAGAGCGGGAGGAGGCGGTGCTGCCGCTTGTCTCGCTGAGGCGCCCGCCGTGGCGCTCGCCCTCCCTCCTTCCCTCCGTCCCTATGGCCGTGGGTCCCTCCTGAGAGTGGGGAGAAGAGCGAGAGGCCTCTCCTGACGCCCTCCTTTTCCCCCAAAGAAGAGAAAAGGGGAAAGGCGGCGCCTGCCTGCCTGCCTCTCGTTGCCTTTCCCCCCCGCCCTCGAGATGCCAGCATGGACTGCAGGATCAAGTGAGTGAGGAGGGGGAAGGCGGCTGGGAGTAGGCCTCAAAGCCCCCCTGGGTGGGCTCAGCCCATTGCTCACCTTTTGGGCCTCTCTCTGGGAGTCCCCTTTGTGGGAGGAGGGCAGCATAGACTCATTTGGAGGGGGAGGGCTGGGGTGAAGACTCCCCTTCAGGTTTGGGAAGATTTGCATACCCCTCATGAGGCACCCTAAGGCTGTAGGGTGCTACCCTGATGTGGCAGTAGGGGCTGTGTCATTACAATGTGGAAGAGTGGGTTGTTTTGTTTTTTGTCACTCTATATCAGTGCTTCTCAACCATCCTAATGCCACGACCCCTTAATGCAGGTCCTCCTGTTGTGGTAACCCCCAACCATAAAATTATTTCTGCTGCTACTTTGTAACTGTAATTTTGCTATAGTTATAAATCATATTGTAAATATCTGATATGCGGGATGTATTCTGCATAAATGGGTTACATCCCGTTTAGACTACTGCAACGCGCTCTACGTGGGGTTTATTTATTTATTTATTTATTTACTTTGCTTCTATACCGCTGTTCTCAGCCCGGGGGCGACTCACAGCGGTGTACAACATAGGAAAAAACAAATACAAGACACAGTATATAAAAAAATTCCCAATCCATCAATATACCAAAACATCGTCATTACTACGAAACCATTCAGCGTCGTCTCATCGTCCAAATCACAATCCAGTATCATTTTCCGTTGTTCCATTCCTATAGTCATTACCAATCATTGCACTTCTTGTTCGAACGCCTTCTTGAACAGCCAAGTCTTTAGTTTTCTGCGGAATATCATCAAGGAAGGAGCCAGTCTAATGTCCACGGGAAGGGTGTTCCACAGCCGAGGAGCCACCACCTCTGAAGACTGCCCGGAAGCTCCAAATAGTCCAACGAGTGGCAGCCAGACTACTAACTAGAGCGGGGTACAGGGACCATACTACTCCTCTGTTACACCAGCTCCACTGGCTGCCAATTAGCTTCCGAGCACAATTCAAAGTGCTGGTGTTAACCTATAAAGCCCTAAACATTCCGGCCCAGTTTACCTGTCCGAACGTATTCTCCCATATGAACCATCAAGATTGTTAAGATCGTCTGGTGGGGACGAGGGACAGGGCCTTCTCGGTGGTGGCCCCTCGGCTCTGGAACTCTCTTCCACTGGAGATCAGAACTGCCCCTTCTCTCCTGACGTTTAGAAAACAGGTGAAAACTTTGCTCTGGAAACTGGCATTTGACGAGTGAGTCAATAACTCATGACTACATGGACAGATGGTGATGAACTACGATTTCATTTTGACGACTTGGCCTATGTAATTATATGATTGTATTTTAGTATTTTAATGTGTTAGTGTATTACGGGATGTGATGTTTTTAAACGATTGTCTGTGATACTGTTGTTGTGAACCGGCCTGAGTCCCTCTGCGGAGGTGAGAAGACTGGTATATAAAAGTTCTAAATAAATAAATAAATAAATAAATATTCTCATTCGCTGGATCAAATTTGGCACAAATACCCGATACGTCCAAATTTGAATACTGGCAAGGTTGCGGGGTTGTGCAATTGCTGGGATTTATAGTTAAGCTACTCTCAAAGAGCATTTTGAACTCCGCCAATGATGGAATTGAACCAAACTTAGCACACAAAACTACCAAGACCAAGAGAAAATATTGGAAGGGAGAGCACTGTGGACTCAAAAAAAAATATGGATCAGGAACAAACTTGGCACAAATACTCAATATGCCCAAATTCGAACCCTGGTGGAGTTTGGGGAAAATAGACCTTGACATTTTGGAGTTGTGGTTACTGGGATTTATAGTTCACCTACAATCAAAGAGCATTCTGAACCCCACCAAAGATAGAATTGGGCCAAACTTCCCACACAGAACCCCCATGAACAACAGAAAATACTGTGTTTCCTGGTGGTCTTTGGCGATCCCTCTGACACCCCTTCGTGACCCTCCCAGGGGTCCCGACCCCCAGGTTGAGAAATGCTGCTCTCTGTATATGTATGTTATGAATGAGTCCATTCAAACTGGCTGTAGATCAGGCCTGGGTAAACTTTGGCCCTCCAGGTGTTTTGGTCTTCACCTCTGGCTGTTAATAATAATAATTTATTTATTTTCAACTGTGATGTTGGAGGAAAGTTCTGAGAGTGCTTTGGACCGCAAGAAGATCCAACCAGTCCATACTTCAGGAAAGAAAGCCCAACTGCTCACTGGAGGGAAGGATATTAGAGGCAAAGATGAAGTATTTTGGCCACATCATGAGAAGACAGGAAAGCTTAGAGAAAACAATGTATTGTCGAAGGCTTTCATGGCCGGAATCACTGAGTTGTTGTAGGTTTTTTCGGGCTATATGGCCATGTTCTAGAGCAGGGGTCCTCAAACTAAGGCCTGGGAGCCAGATACGGCCCTCCCAGGTCATTTACCCGGCCCTCGGTCAGGGTCAACCTAAGTCTGAAATGACTTGAAAGCACACAACAACAACAGCAATCCTATCTCATCAGCCAAAAGCAGGCCCACACTTCCCATTGAAATACTAATAAGTTTATATGTGTTAAAATTGTTCTTCATTTTAATTATTGTATTGTTTTAAAGTGGGTTGTTTTGCACTACAAATAAGATATGTGCAATGAGCATAGGAATTCATTCATGTTTTTAGTCCAGCCCTCCAACAGTTTGAGGGGCTGTGACCTGGCCCTCTATTCAAAAAGTTTGAGGACCCCTGTTCTAGAGGCATTCTCTCCTGACGTTTCACCTGCATCTAGGGCAAGCATGCTCAGAGGTTGTGAGGATGCTTGCCATAGATGCAGGCGAAACATCAGGAGAGACTGCCTCTAGAACATGGCCATATAGCCCGAAAAAACCTACAATAACCCACTTAGAGAAGACAGTTATGCTGGGGAAAATGAAAGGAAAAAGGAAGGGGGGCCGACTAAGGGCAAGATGGAAGGATGGCATCCTTGAAGTGACTGGCTTGACCTTGAAGGAGCTGAGAGTGGTAACGACAGAGAGGGAGCTCTGGTATGGGCTGATTCATGAGGTCACAAAGAGTCGGAAACGACTGAACGAATGAACAACCACAACAACAACAATTTATTTGACTAGTCATATGACCATTTCAAAATACAACACATGTAAAAGACAAGACAAAAAGGAGAGGACAGCAGCTGACCTTCTATTTACAGTCAGAGTCTTATTTTCCTGGTTCTTCTTTCAGGAAATGTGCTCTTTTCTTGATAGCTTTCAGAATAAAAAGGCTTTCTCTGATTATGGTCGATCTTTCCTGTCCTTGCAAGAGGAATGTCAGAAGATCATTTCTGTTGGGGGACCTGCAGTTGGATAATATTGGATGTAAATATCAGTATTGCAGTTCAATATATGCTGCACAGTGAATTAAGAAATGTTCGATAACTTCCACTGTTTGTTCTCCCCATACACAGAATCTCTTACTTTTTGGGATGTTGCAGTAACGCCCGGTTTGCATCATAATACCGAGTTGTTCAAACCTAGCCCTAGTATAGAAATGATGGAAGTTGAAGTCCAAAACGCCTGGAAGGCCAAAGTTTGCCCAGGTCTGCTGTAGATCTATGGCCAATTGGGGCACTTTCCACACAGGGAGCTCTGGTGTGGGCTGGTCCATGCGGTCACGAAGAGTCGGAAGTGACTGAAGGAATAAATAACAACCACACAGCTGAACAAAATCCCACATTATCTGCTTTGTTTTGGGATATATGGCGGTGTGGACTCAGATAACCCAGTTCAAAGCCGATATTGTGGGTCATTCTGCCTTGATATTCTGGTATTTGGGCTGTGTGGAAAGGTCTTGGATTATTTGAGTCCACAGTGCCATATATTCCAGTTCAAAGCAGATAATGTGGGATTTTATTCCTCTGTGTGGAAGGGGACTGAGATAACTAGGGCCCTTCCAAACATTATAAACATTCAACAATACCATCAAAAGCATTAAACGATTAATTAGAACAGGTAATTAAAAAACAATTAATTAAAAACAGTCAATTAAACAAGTTTGGTTCAGGTCCATCATTCCTGGGAGTCACAGTGGTCTGTGAGAGACAAAGTGGTTGAAGGTACTGCAAACCCCATCGTTCGTGGTCCAGTCTCCCCAAACCTCACAAGGACCTAAAGTGGGTAATGGAGGAGCTGTGTCCCAAGTTTGGTTCTGATCTGTCATTTGTGGGGCTCACAGTGGTCTCTGGAAGTGGGAGCCAATGGGAAAGCTGCTGCACACATGCACCACCGCATACATATGTTCACTTTTATGATACTTATAGATATACAAATAAAATGTGTATTGGGGATGGGTTTTAATTTTCATTGTATAGAATAACTTTTATTTTTATTGTACTTGGTACAACAAAATCCAATGCCTTCCCCAATCACATTATATATGTGAGCCACTGAGTAGCAGCAGGTTTCCTCTAGCAATGACAATGATCTGATTAAATTCAGCTGAACACAACTGAACATATTATTATTATTATTATCATTATCATTATCATAATTTTGGTGGCCATCCTCTAAACGTGTTCCAGTTTGTCAACGTTCTTCTTCAGCTGGGCTCCCCAGAACTGGAGGCCCACCTAATCCCTATTCCTACTTAAATTCCATGGCAATATTGACTTCTGAAGCCCCTTCCACACAGCTGTATAAAATCAACATTCAACTGGATTATATGGCAGTGTGGACTCAAATAACCCAGTTCAAAGCAGATATTACGGATTATCTGCCCTGATATTCTGGGATATATGGCTGTGTGGAAGGGCCTGAGTCTCTTGCTGGGCTAGTACTCCAGTGATGTGCATCAAACATGGTCTTATAACATCCATGCTATCTATGATTCTATGTTCCTATCTGTACTGGCAACACATGTAACTGGGAATGGAATCTACACATTCTTTAGCAGCCATGCACATGTGTCAAGGTTTGTCCGCTGGCTAAGTTCCCCAAATAAGATTCCCTGTGTTTT